TAAATTTTTAATACTTTTGTAAACTCTAGTCATAAGTATGTTTATACAATAATATGTATAAACACTTTATCGCTATTTTCAGTTTCAAAGTACACTTCTTTCGGTAACTTTGTTTTGGCAATTTAAGAATATTATTTGGAAATATTTTCTAAAGCGAAAATGATTAATTACAGTTTAATACAATTTGTTAAATATTATTTTCAATTTGACAATGTATCTTCGAACCGTGTCGATTTAATTACGCACAATACTCTGCGTCTCGGTGTCTTGCACGGCGAGAGAGATGTAACAACTTTTGTTCGAAATGGATTTCGTTATTTCCAATTCAAAGGAGCAAACAATGAGTTCGTTAATAGGTTCATGAGATATTTAGATTTTTGCATATAAATTGTATACTGATATGGATGGATGATATGAAGTATAAGATTAGTACGACTTTTTGTTGAGGATGCTGAGAGTGGACATACGACCGCAAAGGGTTAATAACCACGAATAATTTAATATTAGGTTTCAAATGCTTACCATTGCTTTCCTTCATTTTTTCTGTTAATTGTGCCTTGTCAATGACGAGTTTTTCTATCTTTCTCGGTATCAACATATTTTTATTCCTACTGTTAAAGATATGTACTTGAATTAATCCTTCTAGTAATAATCTCCAATCACTGGTCCATTTAAACGTTCCATTAGAACACGATGTAGAAAGTCTGCTTATAATATTGTAAGACTCCTCATATTGGTAACCACGTAAAAGTAGATTCGAGTAAATTTCTTTTTCGGTTAAAATTTCCATCTCTTTTTCTCGTAAAGTTACTTCAGGAATATCATTCTTTTCTGTTTCTGTTAGGCTTATAATTCCAGAAGCAATCATTTTATCTTTGGTTCTTATTTCAAATTTTCCCGAGCCTAGAAATGTATATTATATTAAATAATTAATTCGAAATATTATATGCGATAAAATGGCCATTTTTACCTTTTAATATCGTAATATTAAAGCTCATTTTGCCGTTTCTAGGTACTATTAGTAATTTATGGTAAATAATAATATTCTGGAGCGTTAGGGATTTCTCATCCTTTTTTAATAATAAGTCTAAGTACATATTTGCAAGTAAATTTAAATAAATTGCTGATGGTACGATCACATCGTCATTAATTTGAAAATCTCGTAAAAACTTATATTCGTCTGATTTCAAATTCAAGAGAAACGAGCGTTCTGCAAGTCTTTGCCTCGTTTTTGCTATAGAAGAGCAAACGCGCCTATGAAAAACGAAGAAAAATTATAAAAATTTGTGACATTTACTTAGAAATAATTATTTATGTACTAACCAGTCGGAATTATGTTCCCATAGGACGAGCGAAGAAATCGATGGGGTTCCTGTAGAAACAGGATAAGGAATTTTTGGATATAATTTTCCTGGCTTAATAGGACACCCTAGATTATAAAGCTTTCCTAACGTGGATAAAATTAAAGTTGCATTGTCCTTATGGTCTCGTTTYGTTAATGATAAGTTAATGCAATCGTTGTACAAGGATTTTTTCAGAATTGCCTAAAATAGGGTAGAAATATGATATAAATTTAACTGTAAAATTGAAATAGCTTAAATGTTGTTATTATTATTAGTATATAAACCTGTAATAGTCCGTGAGGAGAAATTTCAATGGTAATAGTGTTTTTTGGTATCGTTTTTAATACTTCTTCGAATAAAACAGAAGATAGGAGATTATTTGTATGATATTCCGCTGAGGAAAAGAGAGCATTCGTTGAGTCCCATTCGTTTTTCGGAACGGACGTGCTTATCCAACGTTTACTACGTTTTTTTGGTCGAGGAATGACTTTCTTTAAATAATCCAACAATTTTGGACCAGCTGGGGAAATGTAACGACTATGGTAAGCAATATTACTAGTTGGCACGGTTTTAGCAAATATTCCTCTACTCTAAAAACAAAAGGTAATGATATTTAAAAAAAAAAGCTTATATTATATTACAATTAGATAATTTTAGACTAAAAATAATAATTAACCTTGTAAGCATTACCTGTAATTCATTGACAAAAGCATTTATGGATTCGGTAGGTCCACTTATTGTGCAACTATCGGGCCCATTATGACAAGCAACATCAATGTCTTCTGGACAAAAATGTCTAACTTGTTGGTAGCCAAGTCCGATTGCAGCCATCGTTCCATGTATTAAATTGCTCTCTACCGATGCCAAACCTCGTGAGAGAGCGCATAAAATCATTTCCTCAGCGGAAAAGCAACCATCAGCGTAAGAACAACCAAGCTCACCGACAGAGTGTCCAATCATGTAATTTGGTCGCACGCCAACGGCGTATAAAATATCTACCAAACCGATCTTCAACCAAAAAACGATTATTACAAATAAGCCTAAATAAACACCGTAAACTTTAAAAGCTATCAAAGATAATAAATATACTTGTATAGCTGCGATTCCCAGAAAACAATGTATAATATTGTCGTATATTTTTGGATCTTTGTCGCATATTATATGTATAATGTCGTAACCTCGAGGTCTTAAAATTTCATCACATTTTTTGATTGCTTCAGCAAAGATTGGTATCTTCATTAGCGATTCACCTAAAGTTACAAATTCTTTATATAGGATCTAACATCTTTTTCGTTATTTCTGTGTATGTATCAATGTAACTTTATTAATACCCATTCCAGTCCATTGCGAGCCCATCCCCGAAAATACGAACCAGATCTGTCGGGATTCRTCTTTAATCRGCTCTATCGATTGTTCTGAATTATCTTCTTCAAATTCAGGAATTACTATATATCCAGAATACAGAGAATGCATAAATGGTTTCTCGGTAATGTCATTTATTAATTGAGCCAGTTCGTCATCTCCTTTGTTCTGCTTCAACTAAGRATACAATATGATATAACTATGTAGTCATACATATTCAGTAMTTGGTCGTAAATCGGAAAAGTTCTTACGACGTTAAAGATCGATGATATCATCTCCTCATTTCTACAAGAAATTACATATAGTCGAGGCATATTATAGAACGAACGGTCTCTCTTTAGTTTCTCTTTGAAATGACGTTTTAGGATAATGTGAGAAAAGAAACCGTTTATAGAGGTTGTGTTTACAGCAGCATAAGCGCCCGTCCAAGGTACCGATTCTGTAACAACTTTTATGCGTCCGTCCTGAAGACATTTCGCATCTTCCGGAGGCTCGTCGTAATGAAGATTCGGAGGTATAACTCCTGTCTCCATAGCAATAAGTACCTATAAATTGACAGAACATTAGTACTTTAAACTTAAGTATATATAATATCACTTATATCGGATAATTTACCTTTATGATCGAATTCATTGTATTATTATTAAATGTATGACCAATGTTTGATTTAACCGATCCTATTAGAAGAGGATCAGATGGACTTCGATTTTCACCATATACTAGATCTATTGCCTTTATTTCTTCGCGATCCATCAATTTGATCGCCGTACCATCGGCTTCGATGTAACTTACGTCACTTGGTTTTACGTCGCAATCTATTAAAGTTTTCTCCATAATTTCAGCCTGAAATTTTGCTGTTGGATATAAACAATTTTTTTCTTCTATTGATTCGCCATACAATGCAATAGTATTAACAATTTCGCTGTATATCCGTTTAGCATTTTTAGCTCTTTGCATRATAAATGCTCCCAACGACTCACTCCTTGTAAATCCATTAGCTTTTATGTCGAAAGAGCGATTAAAACCATCTTCAGACAATAACCCTACGAATTTTATTTCTATTATTTTATCTATTCTTATTTTAAATAAAACATTAAGCTTGCTGTGTGTGTTTAGATTTTGAATAAATACATTTAAAAGATCCTAATTTGTAAAGAATAATTGTCTGTATGCAAAACAATATTTTGATTTTACCTAATTCAGACATGCTGTAAGACGTTTGTGGATGCAAAATTATGCATCCACTAATAACAATTGCAAAATCGCAAATTTTAGCATTAAGAGCTTCGTAAGCTTTTTGAATAGCTACTCCGCTGGATGCGCAAGTGGCATCGATCGTGCAACTAGAGCCGATTAGACCCATGGAAAAAGATATTCTGTTTGAAAACAAACCTCGGCTGTTTCCAGTAATCGAAAAACCATTTAGCTATAAAATTAAATAAATGTGACGATATTTATATATAGGTTACTATTTATTCAATTTACCTGTTTACTCTCGTAGAAGAAAGATGTTTCTGACTCGGAAAAAGTCAATGCTCCGTAAACATTCGTTTTCGTGTTCTTTAGTTCGACAGGATTAATCCCAGCATCAGTGATCGCTTCGAACGCAACTTCCATTGCCAGTCTTGATGTCGGATCAATAAATTCTGCTTGTCTTGCATTGATTCCAAAACAAATATTATCAAACTTTGTTATTTGTGACATCGTTCCGATGCGCGTTGGAATTTTAGCGTCATCTAAAAATAATTATTTAATCGATGAATCAAAAAAGTTTACTTATATTTAAAATTACTTTCTGCAACCAACTACATTCATTTATACTCACTATATGTCCATCTCGTGTTATCTGATGAGACGCAATCTTTTCCATTCATTAAATTATCTATTAAATCACTTATATTATCACTTTTAGGAAATCTACCTGATATTCCAGAAATGACAACTGAACTATCTGCCAATATTCTACTAGATTCCATATTTGTTAATTTATCTATACGAGCGAAGCTATCAACTACAACTTTGTTTGTAAAATGAAGATTYCTATTGTAGTCTGCTTTTTATATAGAGAAACAGATATTTCTAATTAGAATAACTATATACGTAATTCGTTTTTGCAACTTAAATGCGTTTAGTAAGCATTAAACTACATTGTCATCGAACTAATACAAGACACATACCACTCCAAATGCTTCTGATGACCTGTGACTTTAACTTCCTTTCTTTTTTCGCATGTAATTCTTTCAAATTGACGTAAATAACAATACACTGTTATATAAGATAGATCATTTAGAAATACCTATCGAACATTTCTAATGAAATATCAAAGTTTTTAAATATACCGATAGATTAGGATTTTAAAATATTAAGGATCATAAAATTATACGTAATATATCAATAAAAATTTTACAAATTATTCTTTTTAATCCTTTATCAATTTGTATCACTTAGTAATTTAATCAAAAAATGTAAATATTGTTATCATAAGAACCTTTAACAAGAAAAATTTAAAAAAAGTAGGTATTAACGATTAAACATTATTAATAATCGTTTCATCTAAGACATTTTTAAATGGTAAGTGCAATTACAAATTTATAGGAAACTTAGAGAATAAATACAATAGAATTATTTGCAGATAATAACTTAAAGTAAATATGAAAACATTTATAAAAAATGTTCTTGATTAAACAGTCCGAATAAATTAATTTGAAATACTTATCTACGCGCCTTTTTTTTCTATTTAAATGCGTTTAATATGCATAAGGCTACATTATCGATGCACTAATAAATGAAACATATCATTCTTAAGACTTCCAATGACGTGTGACTTACATTTTTTATTTCTATAAACATCAATTTTATATAAAATGTATAAAATAATCGATGCGAAAAACTTTGTACTTACTACTTTATACTACAAATAACCCCGATTTTAAAGAAGTTTCTACATTACCAATATATAAATTCACTCCATACTAATACTTATATACTATAATACATTCGTTACGCTTGCTTAAGGAACATTAAATCTTTGTTTTCTGTTTTACAACAATGTTTTTTAAATTATATTACGAGTAATCTTTCTATTTATTCTCTATATTTGCATATTAAAAATCTTTTCAATATTAAAAATTTGCGACGAATTGTATTTATTATATCGTTTTTTGATTAGTTAGTTTTTTTTCAAAAGATCAAGTGACCTTATGAATATAAATTACTTTCGCATATCTAATGTACACGTTAGCACTGCTTGGACTTTAGTATTCTACGACTGCGTCGCATCAGCCTTCTACGTCAACACGTGATTGAAAGAGGGAAGTGCGACCTTGCTTTCACTACATCTAGCCATTGCGAGTCTTACATAAGACTCTTACAGGCAACGAACTTTTAAACCACGCGTGGGAATTCGTATTATATTAGAAAAATTCCAAAACATTATTAATATAGAGTTCACTCGCATATGAAAAGTGTCCTTAACGAATTTGGAAATTATTTGCCTCATATTGATTTTGAAATATTCTACAACTCTATCAAAATTTGATTAATGAAACGAAAACATCTTTCTAATGGGGGGTGATTTGGAAACAAGCGAACGAAAAAGCAGCGATGAAATAGCCAAGTTACTAAGTAAGGAGAAAAAAAGAGACAAAAATATAGAATTAAGACTGCGAGATAATGAGACAAGATAAGGCTACAAAGTTTTTCCAATTCTCTGTCTCCTCTGTATGCTCTGCTTCGTAGTCCCTACTTCTGGCTACTAAGCTTTATATATATTGATGTCTTTGTTTGCAAATTGCATACTACGATGCGTGGACTTATATACAATAATTTCAAGAAAAAAACCTGTTTGTAGGTAGGAGCGATAGAAGGGTGGAAGAATAAACAGAGATAAGCGTGTAGGTAGGCGACAAAAGAATAAGATCTAAACGAACCAACGGTCGAAATAAAGAAAAAAAGTTGTACGATCCGAAAGGATCGTACGGTAATTAGCGGTATTCGAAATTCGCACGCGTCCGCTTCCATCGATTAGGATTCTAGATCGATACTCATTGCGAGCATCGATCAACTACCAGTAACTATCGAAGCGCTCCTCTAGTTACCCCCACCTCTCGCATCCTCAGTTCTCAATCCCCTAGTGAATACGCCCTGCTGGGCCAGTACAAAGAGACGTTCATTCTATACCACCACCGGACGCCACGACGATACATCTTCAGCATCTGAAGAACATCGAAGCTATATTGGACAAAAGATTTAGGAATTCACAGGAGACAACGAAGAGAATATCCTAATCTTCAAGACTTGTGAAAGTGAGCCCATTCAACGTCACAACCCTTAAGGTTGTGATCGCTATACTTGAGGAGTGCGAAAGGTGAGATCTTTCCATTATATATATTTCACATCGACGGTATTTTCCCGCGTGGTAACACCACGTGGTACACTCTTATTGTATAATTAAATATCATCCAGGATTTTTATGCCACAAGGCTTTTTTTTTTGAAAAAGTTGGAACTTACACTCTTTTTCCAGATTTTGAAAATGTCATCCCAAATACTATTGGAATTCAAATTTTTCCTCCCTGTACGGTAATTTTCCGGTGTGTACGATAATTTTACGCACCTGTGTCAATCAGACGAACTAATGTTTCTGGCATAACATCTTCAAGGATTATAGAGGCCATATTGGACAAAGGCTTTAGAAATTCACAAAGGACAACGAAGAGAATACTCTAATCTTTAAGATTTGTGAAGGCAAGCCCATCCGACATCACAACCCTTAAGGTTGTGACCGCTATACTTCAGGAGTGCGAGAGGTTTGATCTTTCCATTATATATATTACACATCGACGGTATTTTCCCGCGTAGTAACACCACGTGGTGGACTCTCATTGTTATAATTTAATATCATCCAGGGTTTTTATGCCGCAAGGCTTTTCCCTAACGAGCCAATAAAAAAGGTATTGTTTCTTTGTTTGACTCAACCACGTGTTTGATTAATTTTATTCTAATCCCTTCTTCCTCATCCCCAGCAACTAATTACCAGAGGACTTTTAATTGAGGAATTTGGTCATAACAAATATCTTCACGCATTGAGAACAACTATTCAATAAAAACGCAAGAAGCTACTACTGTTTAAAATAAACATTTGTCTTAAGTGGTACACGACTGATTCCTTTATCTAACTTGTAAAATAATTATATCTTTAATGCAGTCATTACCACTTTTTATTCGTTTTTTTGTTTTTTCGTTACCTCTACTCTTTTTTTCATTTGTAGTGCATTCGTCTATATATTTATTTTTCTATTAATGTACCACCGTGTATTCAGTATTATTATTCTTAACTCGTCTACTTTTTTTTGTTTAMCAATGTCTACTTTTATTGTAGGATGTGAAAATATTTAGCACTACTTAGTTTTTTCTATATATTTTATGAAAGAGTATACTCGAAAACTTATTATATATACCAAAGATCTAGATAATAATAATTCTGTTTTGATAGCATTGTAGCACGTTTTGGAATAAATATTTAACAAATATTTTCGACATTCGTTGAGGACACTTTTCATATGCGAGTTAACTCTGTATTAATAATGTTTTGGTATTATTTTAATATGATACGGATTTCCACGCGTGGTGTCAGAGTTCGCCACCTGTAAGTGTCTTACGTAAGACTCGTATTAGCTTGATGTAGAAAAGGGCAAGTCGCACTTCCTACTTTCAATTACGTGTCGACATTGAAGGCTTATGCGACGCAGTCGTGGAACACTAATGTCCAAGCAGTGCTAACGTGTACATTAGGTATGCAAAAGTAATTTATATTCATATGGTCACTTTATTTTCTACAAAAACTAGCTAATCAAAAAACGATATTACAATTACAATTCGTGGTAAGTTTTAATATTGTCAAAATTTTAAATTCAAATTTAGAGAGTAAATAGAAAAGTTATTCCTAATTTAATTTAAAAAACTTTTGTGTAAAACAGGAAACTAAGATCTAATGTTTCTAAACAAGCATAACGAATGTAATATAGTATATAAGTATTAGTATTGAATGAATTTATATATGGACCGTTTATTTAGAAAGTGGTGTAAGTCTAATTTTTAAAAAATAGGAAATATCACGTAATTTATGCTTAATTTAATGTAAACTTTTTATGAATACCTAATAAATATTTAATTTCTTTAAAATTATCCACGTTTTGTATTGCCCGATACAATTTGAAATTGGTCGGTAAAAGAAATTGACTAATCATTGATGTGAAAACCTTTAATTTTCTTGAAATCAAAGAAATTGTACTTACAACACTTTCTAAATATACTGTCAATATTGCTAAAGTAGAATACTTCTTAAGAATCAGAATAATTTGAAACTCGATGAATCCGAGTAGTTTGAAACTGCATGAAACAAAAATACTCCACTAAAAAGAAACGAACACAAAAAAGAAATTATGTGTGCAGATCACACGTGTTAGAAGCGAAACCTTCAAAAAAGTAAGTTTCGAGAGAATGAGACGAATGCAGAGTATCAGGTGTCGAATAATTGTTGGATTTATTTGTTATAAAAATTATTATTATAATATTATTATTATAATATTGTTACTACATTCAAAAATTATTTTACGTTTTATTGACATATAATACATAACATATTACACAGTAAGCATGTTTTCAAT